ATGGTGAGAAATAAGGCAGTGATGACACTATCAGTGTACTACAAGTTGCCCCTTATACAGCTAATGTGCCCTCCTTCTGCAGCCAGAGCCTGTCAGTAGAGTCGAAGTGAGCACACACTGTACACTCTGATTACAACCTCACCACACTACATGTATTGTGCAAGCGCTTGGTTGGTCATGATCACATTTCATCATCCATGCAACACTTCAGGCTGCTTTGTCTTTCCCTCCCTTTCATCTCGGGTGAAGAGTATACTCTCATTGAGATGAAATGTGCAGTATCCCATGAGTGTGCTCCTATGGAGCCCTTGCCATCAAGTGTCACACTTCATGAGCTTACCCTTTGGGTCTTTTCTAAAGGGATTTCATCTAGTTTAATTTTTGCCCCAGTCTCTCCATCAGATGAGTTATTGTCTCAGAAGTTTGTTTCCTAATCTGGAAATGTTTTTCCGATTGGTACTGACCTCTTCATACATTCCCACCCATTCTCCTTACTTCTGGTGCACGTTTTTTACTTCTTGCTTCATCTAATAATAAAATTATCACAAGTGCAAATATATAGGGGTAGTTACTGTGCATGGAGGTTTTGTTACCATGCTATAGGTTAGTCTGGAGGCAGAACTCAGAAATATGTAAAGAGTCTCACATTTTTAGTACAATATATATCAAAAGAGAGCTATTTTATTCAGGAATTCGAAAATCATTATTGGCAATCTTGCAATTGGTTCTCTGCAAATATTAACCTTGTGCTATGAAATAATTTTAGTATCTTAACAGCTTAATAAAATTGTTGAAACATAAGTGCACATGATTCCTGTATTATCATAAATTGCTTAAATTTGTCAAAGAATTATGCTCTATATTTCAGGATAGGTCTATATATATTTCTGAAATTGTGTGCAATAATATAATTTAATTCTTTTCAGAAAGTAAATCCAACAAGGAATACCAGATCCAGCTTTTCTGTCAAAACTGCAATTCAATCCAGTTAATTTAAACATAAAACAAGTTTCATTATCATTGGCAAACAGAAATTACAATGATCATTTTGCACTCACTTTCAATGCAAATGAATTTTGGTTAAATAAAAAACCATAGATAATTCTGTTCCTCATTTGTGATGTCATAATATACTTATTGTAGATAATACTGTAGATTGGGTTACATACATAAATATTAAGCAACAACAACAAATACATTAATCATGTTAACTGATTGTCTGCTTATATTGTCCCTTATTTCAGTCTCTTGGGTTATGTGGGATTTTGCACTTGTCAGTGGAATAGGAACAAGCAACTGTATACTTCAGAAAGCTCTAGAGACATTTGTGTGTAAGTTATACAGATCTGAAACTGAACAACTGATATCCAAGTGCTTCGTGCTTCATTGTTCAGAAAGTTTAAGCAAAGTTTTGAAAATATGCCTCCAACAAGAGATGCTCTCATCTTCATATCAGTAGGCCCTCATAGCACAAGCAGATCTCCCAGACCTTCTGACAGGTTGGCAAAATGTTAATGTCATGTTGCAACCTATTGTCAGGGAAAATACTGCTGTCCCAACTGATTACTTTCAGTTGACTACATGTGGTTGCAGTATTACAGAACACCAATGTAGAGCAAAGCAATGTATGTGCACAAAGAGCCTTCTGAAGTGTACTGCAGCTTGTTTCTGTTCCAGTGACTGGTGCAAAAACCCATATAACCCAAGGGATTGAGATAAGGGACAACATAAGCAGGCATTCAGTTAACATGGTTAATGTATTTGTTGTTGTTGCTTTATTTATATGTGTGTAACCCAGTCTACAGTATTTTTTGCTATAGGTATATTATGATATTATATTTCTTGAGGGACATCTTTTTTAATCATTGCTAGAAGTTTAGAATCATTGACAATGTATTTATAATTATACATTTACTGTATGATAACGTAAGTTTTATTTATATTCATTTTTGAGTTTAAATAAATGCATTTAATGCAACGCAATAACTTGCTCTTTAAATTTCCCACTGGTGATGGTCACTCGTAGAGAAGATCTCTTTCAACTGCATGATAATGTCACATGATTATTACTCCATAAAAAATGACAGACTTTGTTCCATTTTTTTTCTTTAGAGAGGAAATTTTTCTTTTTCAAATGTACGTCGAATTGCACTGCCCCCCTCAAAAGTCACATTTTTTTTTATAGTTGATTTTAACTTTTTAGTGGCTGTCTCCACGTAATATAGCCCAGTGTCAATAGTTTGTTTTAGCACAATAAAAAAAATTCTGGTGTTTTGGCCAATTTTGATGTTTTTGGCCTTAAAACCTGCATGAATCCTGCATTCAGATAATGATTATGCATTATTTCTTTTTATATTATTTATATTTATTTTATTTCTCATTATTTCTAAATATAGTATGGCAGGTTTCTCAAAGTAAGTGGGCCCAACTTCAGAATGTTGTAGAACGTGTTAATGTGTTTCTGGGAAAATTCTGGCTCACCTTTTTTACTCTGTATCAACTCCTTAAACCCATTTCTTAAAAGGATATGCTCTGTCTCTGTGCTCAGATGTCTCTCAACAAATTACTATAATGAAATATTTATGTTTTATATTATTGTTCATATGATATGGTGATTTAGTGAACCCCACTTAGAGACCAAATATCTTCAAAGTTAAAATTTGGTGCTCAAAAGTGAAAAGAATGATTAGAGAAAAATGTTAGAGAGAAAAAGCTTCCTAAGTTAGATAATTATTTTTTAGTTCAAACTGATGCATCTGTGAGCACCAGCTCTGCAGAAGTGGGGGTAAGGATTTTTTTTCACTGAAACTACAGTTGTAGAATAATAGGGAAATTGAAATTCATGAGTTGCTTTATGCAGTTGTGAACACAAAACTGTCAGAGTATTCTAATGATCATGCTGATTGGATTATAAATGATAAATTTTTACAGTACTTGTCATTATTGGAGAAACTTCCTCACCAAAACAATGATTTAAATTTTGAGAAGTCTGAGAGATTAATGTTTGGGAGAAAGAGAAGACTAACTCATGCCCTTTTTTTATTCCATCAAATCAAATTTAGAAAAGGAAAAAAGAAAATGTCTTATTTATTCTCCTAAAACTGGCAAAGTATTCTGTTTATACTATAAACTTTATGGAAAGCCAGAAGCAAAGACAAGTGCTTTAGTGATAGGATTCAATGACTGGAATAATGCAGGTCAGCATCTTAATAATACAAAAATAACTTGACAATGAAGAAAGTTATTGGAAGAAAGTGTTCCAAAGAGTGGTTGAAGTTCTTCATGAAAAATAACCTGCCCTTTCGTGGAGGAAATGAAAATATTGAAAACAAAGACTGCTGTCTGTTTTTAGCTACTATGAAACTGATTGAAAAAATTGACCCATTTGTGGAGCAACACATCAAAACAAAGACATTTAATGATGGGAAAAGAAATGTTTCATATTTATCCAAAACAGTATATGAAAAGTTGATAAATATATTGGTGAAAAAAGTATCAGAGAAAGTATCAAATGCAATATAAAAAAAAATTTTACTCCATCACTGTTGATTCAACTCCATACTGTTCACATATGGACCAGCTTTGCTGTGTAATCCAACATTGTATTGAAGGGGGGAACCATCATTGTCATTTTTAGGATTTGTTGCCTTAGAATAAAGACCCATTGAAAATATTTGGCAGAAACTATTTTTGAAGAACTTAAATAGAACAATCTAGAAAAATCGGATGTGTTAACCAAACTTATGATTATGCAGTCAATTTATCTGGCATATGTAGTGGAGCACAAAAGTTTATTAGAGATGAATTTATGCCGGCCTTATACATACCGTGCATAGTGTAAATTTAGTAATCCAAAATGCTATGGAAGTTTCTGAAGGTTTTTCATGTTTTTTCCATCTCTTGCAATGGCTGTATAACGTTTTTAGTGGTTCTACTCAAAGATGGCAAAATTCAAATAAATGCACTTCAGGAGGAAAGCTATTAAAATCTTTATCAACTACATGATTCTGTACTCATTTCAAAGCCATTGATGCCTTATACAATGGTTATCAAAGTGTAGTAAAATACTTAATGACCTTTTACCGGATGAATTCTTGCATCAAGAAGCAAAAACAGAGGCTCAAAACTTAAAGAAAGAACTATTATACCTGGACACAGCTGTTCTTTGTGTTATTTTAAAGGATATTCTGCCAAAGATTAATGCTTTTAGTATTTCAATTCAAGTATTTCAAAACAAATTTGAAGCAATGTTGCATTTCATTATAAAGCCTATTTGATTATACATCAAGTAAATGTACTGAAGAGGTCTGTATGGATTACATTGAAATGGGAAAAAAACTGTTGGAAGAATCAAATGAATGAGATTTTGAACCTTCATTTAAGAGCAAAGGGAAGAGAGAAAAGTGGGAAAGAAATTCTTTGATGAAGTACACTCCCAGACCCAGGAAAGTGACTTAAAGTTTACAGAAAACTTATGTACCAATTTTAGAGTTAATATGATTTTTAAAATGTTCGATTCTGTTGTTAGTTTTCATAGAAAACAGTGAAAACTATAAGAAACTTAATGATGCATTTTCATTCTTATGGGATAGATAGGTTTCAACACTAAAGTTTGTCGAAATATATGGAAAAAATATTGATAGAAATGACTTACAAGAAGAATTGCTGCAGTTTCATTCATACAAAGATTCATTTTTTTCAAGATAGCAAATTAGATCTAGTTACTTTGTTGGGAAATTTGAAAGAAACTCTACATTTTCCCAATACTGAGATTGCTTCAAGATTGCTTTGAGTTAAAATGAATCAATAGTGTTATGACAAAAAAATTTATTTTGTAAACATTTTTTATAAGATTCTCCCTAAAATATGTACTTTTACGTATTAATCTAATTTTATTTAGTTTTAATGTATTCTGTCATATTACATTTATAATCAACATGTTTTTGTTTATTAAAATTGATTTGGATTTCTACATCATTTTCTTTTCATTTGTATTTCAGGAAGAAGTTTTACAGAGTGGTTTGTAAGTTATGCTGAGCTGCTTGACAGTGGACATTTTGTGGTTTTGAATGAACAGCCTTACAAGTATGTTCTTTAATGGTTGTTTAACCATTAAAATTGTTCATCTCAGTTATGTACTTTATAAAATCTTTATTCAGTCTCTTTTTAGAATTTTAAAAGTTAGGTGCATGTTAAATGGGTGGAGGTTTCTATGCAAAATTGAAGCCATTATAAAAACTTGTATTTGTGTTAGTTTTTTCTTATCTTAAGTGTTCATTTACAACATACACGTGATTGTATTTGTAATTGGAAGTTTCTGTTTGTTTGTTTTATTCTAACACAGTTATGTTCCTTTAACTCTATTCCAGTCATTATCATGCTTAGCTCAAATAAACCATGAACCTGGTGTTAGTTTGATCAATTTTTAGTATTTCTATTTATGGCTTGTCATTTGTTGTTATGAGCAGTTAATGATGGCATGTAATTTTATTGTTTTACTTTATGTGCTGTGATAGTTCTGCAAAATAATATAGTTATCTTCAGTTGTTGTTTGTTAAGATTATATACAACTTGTTTTCTTTTAACCAAAAGCTGTATGATGAAGTATAGTACTATATATATATTTGTTATAGTCGATTTGCTTAAAAAAATTAAAAAAAATGAACAGTGTGTGTCAATCATTATTTCAGGTTTCAGAATTTGATTACAAGTATTGGCAATTCTATATGTAAATGTGATTTTTTTTTGTCTGTTGACAAAATCTTTTGCTCATAACTTATAAGTTTTAAGATTTTTTAAGCTATTTGTGTCTGAAAATGAGCTCAACCAAATTATAAACAAGAAATCTTTAGTCCTAATTTCCAAAAATTTGGTAACACTGAAATTTTTGGTTGCAATAGTAGAATGTTTGTTGGAGTAATAATTGGTATGTAACTGATTTTTGTTTTCTATATGAATGGAGAATTGTGCCATGCAGATAAAAAAAAAGAAAAAGAATATCTCCTCTTAGCCACTTATATGCTCCTTATCTTTGTTTTTCTAAAACATTTATGTATTAAAAAATGTGTTATTTAAAAAAAGAATTATGACCAACTCTTTTGCAAGTGTTACTTGAAACTGAAATGGAACTATTCAGGGATGTTAAGATATCAAATCTTCTTTTTGTATTGCAGTAAGTCCAATCATTCAGTAATGTTCTTAAAAGGTTTAATACACTTGTTGTTAAATTTGCTTCTTATATTTTTTGTTGCTTTTGATTGCCAACTAAGAAAAGGTACTTCAAAGATGTTTCAAAATTTCTTAATGTTAATGGTTGATAGTTAATAAGAGTTGTGTGATTGTACATAAATCTTAAAGACAATATATATAACCACCTATTTTATTCAAACTCTTATAAGGTATGGTGAACAAAACATGTTATATAATTTGATTTGTTTATAATACATCATGCAGGAACTGCTTAGCCTATTAAACACTGACATTTAGAATTATCTTAGTATTCTACTATATACAATAACCTATGATGCCACAGAGGTGTAAGTTTATGAAACTAACAGTTATTCATTTTGTTAGGTTTTACAAAGAACCTGGGTGTGAATCTACTACAAGAAACATCACAGTGACTGCTGAAACATGCTTTCTACCAGAGTTGAGTAGTGTGAACCCGCCTCACTTCTTTCACACATATCGAATCTTGTAAGCTGTTAAGTTTCATAGTATTACAGTACTGTAATCTCTCCCCATTTCTTGCATACACAATTATTTAAGCCTTCTTAAAGTACTTGCATTTTGCTACAAAAATGAAATTCACAAGACAAAGAAACTGCTTTTTCCATGGCTTAATCCCATTTCATATGATGAATACATTACTTTTATTACATAATATTTAAGCACAAGGAAGTCTAATTAAAGAGGGAGATTCAGAATAAACACTATGGTATGAATTTGATATAAACCAAAAGATATTTTCCTCTAAACAATTCTAAAAATATAACTTTTCAAAGAGAATTGATAAAATTATATATAACTTTTGATTAGTAAATTTTTAATTTAGTACTAAAATGGATAATCAAAATTTAAGGAATTGTTTTTATTTATTTTTTGCAAATATTAACCAAGTGTCATATGGCTTAATTTTTTTTCATTACTTCACTGGTCAAAGGGTAAAAGTGAAGAAATATCTATAGTGACTTAATGTTACTATAGTTAATGTTCCTGTCACATGATTTTAATCAACTGAGCCCTTTGAAATCTCAAAAATCTCAAATATAGGAGTTTCATTGGAATAAGTAGGGTTGGAAGTAAACATCCATAAGCAGTAAGTTATTTTCAAATTGTTTATTGACAACTTATTAATGTTATTCAATGTCTAACTGAATGTATTGAGTTATATTAGACAAACAAAAATTTAACCCAAACTATGCCAAACTATATTCAAACATGATAATAAAACTGAGATATTCTGATTTAAATCTGAATTCAGTTTGGCTATCACAGGATTACCATCTATAGCTAAAGTTCATCCTCAGCCCTGCTCATAATATTAAAAGCTCTTAAGTTCTGTCAAAATATAGTACCAATGTAGAAAGAAACTTCTAAACATTGTGGTAGATGCTCTGTTGTTCTGTTTTACCTGTTTGTTAGTAATCCTAAAGTATTTTTAACATGGTATAGAAAATTTATAAACATTTTTTAAAGATTCTTTGAAGCTACACTTCTAAATGTTTACATTGTTTAAGAGAGCTTTTAACATAATGTTTTTTGACAAAAAATATTCATTTTGATATGTATAGTAACATGTTTCTTTTTAGTCAAAATGAATTGTATTACTTGAAAAGTGGTAGTTTTTTGTAGATATTCATATATTATTTTTACTATCATAGTTGCCTTTTCTATGAACAGGATGTCCATGGCAAAAGATGTTTCAATCTTGGAAAGCTGCCAGCTGGTAAGTCGCCACTGGATTGTTACAGATGAAAATGGACATGAAGAAAGAATAGATGGCCCAGGAGTTGTTGGTAAGTTCTGTGTGGAAACAGAATTTGAATATTTCAAATCCTTTAAGGCAGCAGTGCCCACCATAGTAAAATGCAGATTGAAGTTATTATTAGTGACAGAAAGCCTATCCAGACTAGAGTTGATCTTATCAAAAGATGTTTTTACACTGTGTGCTAGATAAGTTCTCAATATGACCTTGTAGGAATATCAGACAGATGGTAGCACTGCCTAGGTAGGGTTGGCTCAGATTGTTCATCGAAATGGTATTTTAAATATCTCCTCAATAGGTCATCATAACTTTAAGATACTATACAGTGTTTCCTTTTATAACAATATCTATGTAATGACTGAGTCACAAGTTCTGGGAATGTCTGTAAATATCATAGCAAAAAGTTTGAATTTTTTCTTCTTTTTTATTACATGATAACTCAAAAACTAAAACAATGGTGTCAACCAAATTCATGAGATGACATAGTTTCAAATGGAGTATCCATTTTTATAAGTATTATTAACTAGTAATTAAAAAAATCATAATTCTCAGTGTTTTATCAATAATAGGTTTGCCAACTGGAATTGGGCAGTTTATTGCATAATCGAGCAACAGTTGAAATTGGTAGAATTTGTTGAATTTTCTGATCAGGGAAAACCAGTTGCTGAGAAATTAAAAATAACACTACCCAGACCACTTTATTCACAATTACAACCTTCTGATATGTAAGTGTGCTTACAACCACAGCCCTGTATTTTTTCTTTCAACACAAAAAACAAAATGTTATTCACCATAGAATAAAATATCATCAGTTAAAACCATCTTTGTCTGTTTCTCATTTATTTACATAAGTTGATACACAGAACAAAAGAAAGGTGAAAAAACAATGCTCTGCATATCGTGAAGCACATCCAGTTCTTTATGAACTGTAGATTAGCAAACGGTCAATAATAGCACCTTATGCACAAAGTTAATACACGTCTTGTGCTTGCTGGAGTTCTATGCAGAATTTTCCCGGAAATTTCTTGTGGCTCCCCAATAGTACTGCACTGTACATAAGTTCATTGTTTGGGGAGGTTGCTGAAGAGAGCATGACAACAGAGCATTTGGAAATTTGAAGTGGCCCATTACTTTCCAGTAGGGGGTTTTATTTGTTTGAATTGTGCATGCCACTGTTGGAGATGTCACTATAAGTTGAAAGTGGTGAACAGGTATATATACAAATATTTACAAAATAACTAACCTATTGGACAACTACGGAACATTTCATTTCATCAATTGACAGTCCCATTATTTATAAATATTCATAGTTCCAAGAAGTTAGTTGTAGCTCAACAAATGTGATTGCTGATTGGTCGGATTGCCTCTCTCAGAATGGTCACATAATGTTACGTATTCATCATGTACTAGCCACAAGATCAGTTCCCATTTTTATTTTTTACCTGTTCAAATAAAAAATGGAAAAGTGATTGTGATTAAAAAATTTTTTTGCATGGCACATTTATTATTTGTAACCCAGGAAAATAATGCATTTAGGGGCAAGGATTGGCTTAGGTTTAGGTTAAGCAACTGGTTCCAAGCACTTGCTAGTGATGAGGGGGAGCAGGTGAAGGAAACAAATGGGATCACGAGGGATGATAGTGTAAAGAATAGGGAAGTTATAGTTGTAGGTGACTTTCTAGTTAGGCATGTAGATAGAGTAGTATATGGAGCAAAACAATATGCTTATGCTATCCAGGAGCAGGGGTACAGGATATAACTGATAGAATCAGAGAGGAGATAGTTAAGGGTGCTAGTAGCAACACAGTTTTTGTGGTACATTTTGGGGCTATTGATATAAGGAAAAATGGATCTGAGGAGCTTATTGATAAGTATAAAACATTGATAAGGACATTTAAGGAAAGGGATCTAGCTTGATTTTGTCAGGGATATTGCCAAGAATAAATAGTGGAGATAAGATATGCTAGGCTTAGATGAATATGTAGGGATGAGCAAATAGGCTGGATGGATTTGTTGGATAATTTTAGTGGGAAAGTTAATCTTTATGGAATGAATGGCTAACATTTAAACAAGGTAGGGGCTAGACAGAGGTGAGAGCTATGATATTAGTAAAATAGGAAATATAATTTTATTTTATTTTTAAATCCTTTATGTACAGCAGGCATAAAACATGAACATAATGTAAAATCTATGATTAATTGTTACTATTATAATGCTAGGAAATAAAATTGATGAGTTCAAAGCAGTTGTGGATACTTAGGATTTTGATATTATGGGTATCACTGAGACTTGGTTGGATTTGAAAAATTTTTATGAAAGAAATGTTTTTGAAATACAAGGCTACAGATTATTTACTAGCGATAGGGTATTAAAAAAAGGGGAGGAGTAACTTTATATATGAGGAGTGAATTGCATCCTGTTGAGTTAGAGCATATTAAAGAAGATAGCACTGAGGTTTGGGTTAGTGTTAGTGAATATAAAGGGAAAAGTCTTGTAATTGGGGTTCGTTATAGACCACCAACTCAATGTGGAAGTTAATGAGAAAATGTATAATGAAATCGGAATGGTAGCTGAAAAAGATGTTGTTATTATGGGAGATTTTGATTTCAGGGGTATTGATTGGGAAAATTTTGAGTCTGATATTTTGAGTTTTATACACCAACTGGTGATGAAACCTATAAGAGAGGAAGCTGTATTAGATTTAATATTAGCATCTAATGTGAATATGATACACAGAGTTGTGGTTGGTGAGCATTTAAGTGCAAGCAACCATTGCACTATTAGGTTTGGGATTTTACTACATGCAGAGTTGAAGAATTGTACCTTGATTCCAAATTTCAGGAAAGCCAATTTTGATGGAATGAGACATGATCTTGGTTCTGTAGATTGGACTAGAGTTGGGAGGAGATCTTGAACAGATGTTGGAAGCATTTAAGGAAGAATTGATATGCATACAGAACCTACATATTCCCTACTGAAAAAAAAAGGGCAACGGAGTGAAATAAGCCAGTACGATTTAGTGAAGGTTTAAGATTCTATATTAGGGATAAACATAATAAATTCAAGAAATTTGAACTTACTGGAAATAATAAGAACTTGGAGGACTGTAGGAAATCAAGAGAGCTGATTAAAACATAAGTTAAAAGGGCAAAAGCTGTATATGAAAGAGGGTTGGCTGAGAGAGTTAAATCAAACAAAAAGGAATTCTTTAGGTATATGATGGGTAAGCAAAATGTTAGGATGGGGATTGGGCCTCATAAAAATGATAGTAGGGATCTGATCTCAGAAGATTATGAGATGGTAAACTTATTCAATTATATGTTCTCATCAGTTTTTACGAAGGAAGATACAAGTATTATGCCTCAACCATATTGATGTAAAAGATAAAGAGCAGCTAGGCTGATTTTTCTATTTCCATACAGTGGCAATGACCTTCATGCTCTTTTATTCTTATGTTGAATGACCGTTTAGTTTGACCTATGTATACTTTGTTGCATGAGCATTGGATGTAAAAAGCCTGTTTGCAAAAGTTCCATAACTGGTGCTCTAGATGTTTTATCAAAAAGGCTTGACAAGGCATGCACACCTTCAGCGGAAAAAAGAATAAATCATTACCCTGCAAAAATTATGTCTTAACAACTCCTATTTTCAATTCAACAATGAAATCTTCATCAGAATCACAGACTCAACATGGGAAGTCCTTTATCACCTCTTATCTGTGACATTTTCATGGATGACTTTGAAAATAAATTGTTCAACCAAGTGCAACTAAAACCATATTTCTACACATGCTACGTGGATGACACTTTCACTCTGATACCCAAAGACAATTGCTGGTTAAGGAAATTTCATGACTTATTGAATTGCATTGATTCTTCCATACAGTTCACTTACATAGAATAAAAGAACATGAAGGTCATTGCTGCCATTTGGAAATAGAAAAATCAGATGTCGCCACTCATGTATACCAAAATGACTACATAATTAAATTCACAGAAACAAACCTCATTGCAGAACCTAAATTTTTCACCAAAGAAATATTATTGAAGTTATTGAAATATACAAGAGTGCAGAAAAACTCATAAACAATGATATGGGCTTTCAACCGAATCCATTATGGAATAAAATCTTTAGAACAAAAGAGAATAATTCTGGAGTTGATATCTTTGGTGCTTTGCATTTTCAATTTGCTTTCTGAGATCATGAGAGTAGTGTTGGACTTTTAGGATTCTTTAGTAGATATTGATAGAATAGCATCTATATCTAATGGATTGGCACTATTACTAAAAGTGTTGGACTTTTAGGATTCTTTAGTAGATATTGATAGAATAGCATCTATATCTAATGGATTGGCACTATTACTAAA